AGAGAGAGAGAGAGAGAGAGAGAGAGAGAGAGAGAGAGAGAGGGAGAGAGAGAGAGAGAAAGAGAGAGAGAGAGAGAGAATGTCGGACGTTGTTCCGATGGTTCGTGAATGGGTGGGCGGCAAGGAGGTCGTCGTCCAGGAGACGAGGCACGAGAGGGGCAAGGAGCTTCATGGAGATATGGAGTGGGGCCCCAACGTGGAACTGCGGGAGAGTCGTACTTACTACGCACTTGTGGATGGTCTCATCGCCATGCAGATCGTAGGAGGGCTGGGGTATGATGGCGAGAATAACCTCATCGAGGTTGTCCTGTTCGTTCGGAAGTTGACCCCAGGGCGAAAACGAAATCCAGCGACCAACAATTCGCCATGTCAACAATTCCACCTAAACCGGCACAAGGATTCAGATGGCTTCCCCAACATGTATCCATGGGACAGAGCCAATTGACATGCGCTTAACGGATGCCATGTCACCTTCTCCCCCCGCCCACTGCCTCCGTCCGAAAAAGAACACTCTCCTCGCATTGCAGCGGCCGTCAACCATGCAACCCCGCCAGAACTGCCTAGTTATGGCACTTGAAGAAAATACATTCATTAATGCCAGCGGAGAACATGAATTGTTTCCCTTCTTTACATCACATTTATGGTTGCATGCGTTCCTTCCACTGCTCTGCTCATGCTCATACGTTGCCACGCTCCTCTCTACCACCTCCTCGTCACAGCCCGTATGTCGTCCTCCGGGGACCAAGTTCGGACCGCCCCGTGCAGGTAACCTCTCTCGCGCAGGGGGGGCTCCATATGCGCCATGTACGACGCATTCCCGTGCATCGCACCCATGTGCTCTTCGGCCAGGGCAGATACCAGGAACCTCACGACATCGCCAACGACATCACGTGCCGGCATCTGCCACGTGTCAGGGACGATGGCAGATAACTTCCGGACGAACAGGACGACCTTGATGAGGTTGTTCTCGCCATCATACCCCAGCCCTCCTACGATCTGCATGGCGATGAGACCATCCACAAGCGAGTAGTAAGTACGACTCTCCCGCAGTTCCACGTTGGGGCCCCACTCCATATCTCGATGAAGCTCCTTGCCCTTCTCGTGCCTCGTCTCCTTGACGACGACCTCCTTGCCGCCCACCCATTCACGGACCACCAGCACAACGTCCGACATTCTCTCTCTCTCTCTCTCTCTCTCTCTCTCTCTCTCTCTCTCTCTCTCTCTCTCTCTCTCTCTCTCTCCCCCTCTGTGTATGTGTGTGTGTGTGTATGTGCGCGCCACACCAATGCCCACATAAGCAAAAACACAAAGTCCCACAATCAACGGATTCCGCGCAGGAACAGTGCCCTCCGACACGACACGGTTTGCTCCTCATACAGAGCAGTCCCTGCCTGAGCTTATGTAGGCATCGGGCCATAGTAGTTCCCCGGTGCTGCGCTCTGTTCGATGCTTTCCCGTGATCTTCCGGATATAAAAATATATATATACATATATATATATATAAATGTATATATATATACGAATATGTATATATATAAATATATATCATCACAAACAGAACTGCCCGGTAAACCGTAGGCAGAGAGAGAGAAGAGGACAACAAACGAGGGGCTGTGGCAAACTGTTTCGTCGGAGTTTCACCGACTCATCAGGAGGTGTATATATGTATATATATCGTCACAAACAACACTGCCCGGTAAACCGTAGGCAGAGAGAGAGAAGAGGACAACAAACTAGCTGTATATATATATATATATATATATATATATATATACATCAACGCGAGGACGGGTCTGCATTCCTCCCCTCGTCAGCACCGTACCTTCCCCCACCCCCCCGTCTGGCGAGAACCCCGACAAGCATCTCAAGCACAGTGTTCCCCCCCCTCATGGCGTCTGCGACGTCACCTATTTTCCTTGTGATCGTTGTGCCGACTTCCGATGTCGCCTTCGCGAGAGTGGAGGCGACCTTGTCAAGACCGTCGCGATACGCCCTTGTAGAATCCTCCATCACCCTCCCCAACGACGACCCCCCGCAACTCGTGTCCTCCACTCTTGCCTTTCCGCTGTTGGATCTTTGTCTCTTCGATGGACCGTCGGAATCGTCCGTCGTTCTACCGTCCGAACCACTTCTCCCCGAACCACGATTCCAGGGACCGTCATTTTGAGCTGTCTCCCCACCTCCGTCGGTCAGATCCTCGGACACCAATGTCTTGTCACAGGAAATGGACGGTCTATTCAACTTCCATTGCATCGCCTCCCAAAGCGGTCTCTCAAAGGCTAGAGGCACCTCCAACTCCTTCCGCTTCTCCACGGGCAAGTCGAAGTACGAAGGCATGCCAGTTACATTCTCCCACCTGTCCAGGATTAGCTTCACCTTGCTCAGCATGTTCGTCCATTTCTTCCGACAATCTTCCGCTGTCCTGTGCCGGAATCCGTTGTCTTTCATTCGGTCGTGCACCCAGGCGTACCGCTCCTTCATCTTCATGAACTGATGTTGACCCTCCGCGTCAGCCATGACGGCGTCGCCCTCCTCCATCAACTTCGCCAGGGTGGTCCTCTCCTCCAACGTCCAAGGGACGTTTTGTTTTTTGTTTGTCGCAGCATTGTCTTTGCCCTTGCGCTTGTCATGAGGACGACCACCCTCCCGTCCGACCAAGGTCTGCCCTTGGTTGGAATATTGTGTGCTGTCTACGTCTCCACGAGCATTGTCTATAGTCTGCACAGCAATGTTCACTCCATCTCCCTCATCATCACCATCGTCATCACCTTCGCACGCTTCACCTAATCCGCATCATCATCAAAATCTGATGTCCCTGATGAACGGTTTCCTGCAAGCCATCCCTGGTTGGTCTCTAGGCAATGCGCATCGCGCATGGAAGTCGACTGATGACAAGGCATGCGTCTGGCCGATGGTCGACTCGGGCTGCCCATTGTACCGTTCATTTGTTGCGACGTCTGCCTGCACTGCGGGGACCACGATCGATCACTCCTCATCACGCTGCCCCTGTCAACATTGTGCTGGGACGACAGGTCCTGTGTCGGAATGCCGAATCCACAGCCGGCCTCAAAGGAATGTGGGGCAGGTGTGCCGTATCCGGCACCAATCGGACCCGGGAGGGGACCATGGCCCATGTACATGGCTCCTGCAGGCATACTTTGCATAGACGGCCATCCCGGGAACCATCCACGTGTCCCTGCCACATGCTGATGTGCGGAAGTAGGGACAGGGGCCCGTGGTATATGGATCGGCAAGCCTCGACCCCCATCAAACAACTGGCCGGTGAAGGATTGAACCACCGACGTACATGGCGAAGAGCACGACACAGATCCGTGCACGGGAACGTCTTGCGTTTGGAATCCCCCATCGTTGCCCGTCGGGAGATCTGTCCGCCATCGACTGGAATCCATCCTTCTGCACGTACCAATAAAAAAACTCTCTCTCTCTCTCTCTCTCTCTCTCTCTCTCTCTCTCTCTCTCTCTCTCTCTCTCTCTCTCGCGCGCGCGCGCGCGCGCGCGCGCGCACCCTCCCCCTTCGGAACTACCTCCACCGACACCAACAAAAAAGGACAGCCACACACCCTAAAATCAAGAAGAGTAGCACCACGGCACCCACGAGGAGAAGAACCGCAATGATGCCTGCGAGGACAACACAAGCCGGGATTTTGTGACGGCTACCACAGCAGCAGCGGTTGTCGATGACGGCATGCATGGACAAACGCTGACGGTGGTCCTCACACGTCGACGCCTGCCAAGGAGGAAGAGGACCCAGTACGTGGCGAGGAAGGGGTTGTGGAGTGGCATGCACGTTCACACATGCCCCCCAACCCACCTCCCGTCTGCCGATGTCTGTGTCTGCCGACGACACACGCACACCTTGCCTGGAGAGCCGGATGACGGGAGATGGCAAAGAACAGAACCTTGGAACGATGGCCCGTCACTTGCACCATCGACGACGACAAGCTCGCAGGCTGTAGATTCGCAACACGACACGACACAGGATGCACGCATTGCACGGGTTGTCTTCCACGCTGTCGTCCACACAAAACGGTCCGCACACCTCCGACAGCACTGGAATGCACCTCACGGACTGTGTCAAAACGACACCATGACCGACAACCCCGCACACACACCTCACGGCCTGCACGTGCCAACGACACCAGCAGCGGCATGGCAGTGCGCACGTCACCACAAATGCGGAGGGAGAAGGTGAGGACGCCGGTGTATTCGAAGCATCGATGCAATATGCGACATGCACACGCACGGACGTACGTCACTGCTGCATGGCTGGCCGTCGTCCTCTGCCCGTGAAAAAAATTGAATTTGAAATTCTGTGCACCGCTGCTGGGCCGTTTCAAAAATCTGGGGACGCGGAACCCGCCTGTGCCCAGAGGCCCATGTGCGAACCGTGCGACAACGCAGGTCCAAAAAATGGTGCCCTCCACCGCCGCGTGGACCATGCCGTCCGGCCCTCCGATGCCATCGGAGAGCATGTACCCCCCCCCTACTCTGCTGGGGGCCATGTTTGGAAAAGGAATACTGCGATCGGGCAGCTATTTTCCAGACCGCCGACCATGTAGAAACGCCCCGTCAGCATTTCGGCAACCACTTTCCATCACCGGTTGGGTCTCGAAAACCTTTCCAAAGAGGCTTTCCACACCTCTTTCCATCACCGGTGGGGTCTCCCAAACGATCAGGCACTTTTTTTTTCCCAAGCCGCCGTCCGGTGGGGTCCACCTCTCAGCATTGGCATCGCCAATTTCCCCCATCGGTCATCGTGATGAGGGGCTGATGCCAACCCCAACTTCTTTTTTTTTTTTTTTTTTTTTTTTTTAACACACAGAGGTAAGACTTTTTTTTTTTTTTTTTCCCCTTTCTTTGTTGTCTTATTTTTTTTTTTTTTTTTTTTTTTTTCTTTAGAAAACGGGGATGAAACCCCAACATGCCCCTTCACAACCCCCCACGACCTTCCCAGCAGGTCTGGTGGTGCAGTGGAACGGTTGCAGGCTGGCAAGATATGTACCTCTGGGCCCACAGGGCCCAGTTCCAACTGGGGTCGGTCCCCACAAATGTACCCCACTTACAGATGGGAATACCTGCTGTACCCAGTCGCAGCGCCCAACTTGCATCTATACCCGGACCCCGGTCTACTTTGCACAGTACCCAACTTTTCCACTGTGCGAAAATTGCAGGCATACCCAGTCCCCATAGGCCCTTGATTGCGGACGGTCACCGTGAAATTACGTTCATGCCCAGGAACGAGCTGGCAAAATTGTGGTTGTACCCACAGGTCCCCAGGTCCCACACCCACCTGGAGGGCCTAGGATGATGAGGAACCACAAACTTGTGCTCATGCCCCCGCCACCCTGACCGTTTTGGCCCATTGGGCCATTGGCTGATGGGTACGACTCCGTACGGCCATAATTTCAGCCATCCTGTAGAAGGGTATATGAATAATTTGGCCGGTGACCGTCCACCTCAGTCTCCTGTATGCCCATAGTTTTGCCTGGGTATGTCCATAAAACTTTGTACAGGCAGGTGGATATATCTGCAAATTCGCAGGACCAACCTGGGTCCACCTCCTTTTTTTTTTTTTTTTTTTCGGACAAATGCCCCAGTCTATTCGTGAACCTGGGTCCACCTCGTTCCTGGGCAAGCAAAAAATTTCCACAGACCATTTTCCGGGGTACTGGTGCAAGTTGGCACGGGGACTGGGTAAGACCGTAAAAGCAGCAGGTTTTCCCATTATTTTTTTTATTTTTTTTATTTTTTTTTTATAGGTTTTCCCATCTTTAAGTGGGGTACAGATGCAATTTTCCCAGGACAGATATTATACCTCTGTCCTGTGGGACATCGGTTTAAAATTGGAACGATACAGAGAAGGGTAATTAGCAAATGGCCCCTGCGCAAGCAAGGATGACACGCATATATCGCAAAAAATTAATGGTCCAAAAAACAAAAACGACAGAAACAAAAGACATACCTCGGCAATGACAAAAAAAAAAAAAAAAAAAAAAAAAAAAGGACACTCTGCCATCAGTGGTGACGTTGTCATTACTCGTTGACCAGGTACACTGCACAGTCTGAAGAGTAGACCATATGCAGAGCAGAGCAGTGTATCTTATCCACCATCAGATGCTTGCATCGGATGAATCATCCATCCAAGCGTCGAATATTGCATTTTATTTTATTTTTTTTTAATTTTTTTTTGCAAAAAGGGAAAACTTCAAGTTAAACACTGTCACAGCAACCTTCAGGAGCATTACATGCAGAGTCTCCAGAGTCGACCATATACATTGCACTGTCTTAAGAGGTGACCACGTACACCGTACTGTCTCAGGAATTGACCATATACACTGCACTGTCTCAAGAGCTGACCACATACACTGCACTCTCTCAATATTTGACCACATACACTTCACTGTCTCAAGATGCACAATCTCCAGAGTTGACCATATACATTGCACTGTCTCAAGAGGTGACCACATACTCCGTACTGTCTCAGGAGTTGACCATATACACTGCACCGTCTCAAGAGTTGACCACATACACTGCACTCTCTCAAGAGTTGACCATATACACTTCACTGTCTGAAGATACACAATCTCCAGAATTGACCATATACATTGCACTGTCTCAGGAGTTGACCACATACACTGCACTCTCTCAAGAATTAACCATATACACTTCACTGTCTCAAGATGCACAATGATCTCCAAAGTTGACCATATACATTGCACTGTCTCAGGTGCTTACCACATACACTGCACTCTCTCAAGAATTGACCACATACACTTCACTGTCTCAAGGATTGACCACCTACAGTGCACCGTCTCTGCGACCACATTCCTCTCACCACAGTCCTCTGGCATCTTATTCGAGATAGATAGTCAGAGAATAGCCAATCAATCAACCAAAAAAAAAAAAAAAAAAAAAGAGCCAATCCTTCACCCATGTCTGTCCTTTCCACAATGCACCTCACCACAATGCCGCGCGTATTCAGCAGCGCTCAGTAATGAAGTCAGATATTCATTGAACGTAGTCGGATAACCACCTCGGACAAATAGCCAATCAATCAATCAAAAAAAAAAAAAAAAAAAAAAAAAAAAGGCAATAAATCACCCATCCCTGTCCTGTCCCCCATCCACCTCACCATGATGCCCCGTATTACACCGCTCAGTCATATATTCATTGAACATAGTCTCCTAACCATCTCAGACACCCCCCCCCCCCCCCCCCCCCCCCCCCCCCCACCTCTCTGCATCATCCTCCCTTGTCGACCTGCTGGACAATTGAGTGGCCAATAGCTGTGGGTGACTGTAGAGGGGTAGGGGTGCCCCCGGGGCAAAAAGATGAAAGGAAGGGTGGGTGGGGTCTTCAGGGGGGGGTCATCTAGACAACCAGATGGCCGATTACTGTGGGGGACTGCCATCTGTCTAGTATCCCACCACTACACCTACCTGGGCTTTACACTTTGAAAAAAAAAAAAAAAAAAAAAAAGGTAGATAAAATATTTACCAATCATGAGGTGATGATGCTATTCACTGCCACGGCCCTACTATATTCATGGAACATACGGGAGGCTGGCAAAATTGCAGAACTGCCCCTCCCTCTTCCTCCCCTCCTTTCTCTCTTCTCAACGAAATTGCAGAACTGCCCCCCCATAATGAGGTGATGGTGGCATTGACTACTCCCCTAATTACACATGCCCCTCCCTCTTCCTCCCCTCCTTTCTCTCTTCTCAACGAAATTGCAGAACTGCCCCCCCATAATGAGGTGATGGTGGCATTGCCTACTCCCCTAATTACACATGCCCCTCCCTCTTCCTCCCCTCCTTTCTCTCTCTCAACGAAATTGCAGAACTGCCCCCCAATAATGAGGTGATGGTGGCATTGACTACTCCCCTAATTACACATGTAGTATAACCTCTCATCATGATGGCAATCCCAACTTCATTTGCGACCCACTTCAAGTCATCATCAATATTAGGTCCAAAAAAAGAAAAAACGAAAAAAAACGAAAAAAAGAAGAAGAAAAAAAAAGATTCTATGATTTTATTATTTATTATGAAATTATTTAATTTTATTATGCTATAATAAGTGACATTCATAATGATCGTATTATTGACACCCTAAAAACCCCTTATCCACACCCTGCCAGCCTAGTACCCGATTCATCGAACTTGAGCCCTCCTTCGCGGAGTGCGCTGTAACTGTATCTGAAACCAGGGAGTGTATGGCAACATACATTCATCGCACCTGGTCACATGGCTCCCGCCTACGCCCCTAATTCACAAGCAGGGGGTCTCTGTACCCCCCTCCTCTCAAACCTACCTTCTTGATCCCTCGAATACAATGTACGGTCATTATAGCCATATCTAGATCTGAAAGATGCCTCAAATACAGCTATAATGACTGAGGTACGCTGCATTCGGGGGAAGAAGGTAGCCATTGTACAGGCCCGGAGAGAGCGTGACGAGAACCCGCAGCGATGGTCCCGGTAGCGGTAGTACCAATAGTCCCACGATCAGTGCCCGGAGCCCAGATCGGTCCCGGATCCCAGATCAGACCCGAATCCCGGCTTCTGCAACTTGCGCTGCTGCCCGCAGTGTTCGCTGTGCAGCGACTTCCTCCAATTCATGCTCCAATCGCTCCCTCCTCTCCTTCACCCCCTCGTGACTAAGTCTGTCTTCCAGCTGTACCGTCTCAGCCTGCGGCTGTCGGAGTGTCTCTGCTTCTAGCTGCGTGCAAGACGCCCTGGCATGGGTCTGATGAGCCTGGCCGCTTCACGACTTTTCATTGCAAGGCTACGATCAGCTCCCCGACCTGGACTTCCGCTTCGGAATCCGAGAATCCCTCCACTGCTTCTCCCTTCTCTGACGTCAGCCTGTTTACCTCCGCCTCGAGCTGGCTGAAAATCTTCTTTGCGGGTTAATGGACATGTTATGATCTTGGTTGTCCGTCGATTTTCATCAACCACTCACACGCAGACAATCTCACGCACGCCCCTACATGCGTAAGAAGAAGGGGAGAGGAGACAAAGTACACACTGCACACAGACAGAGTAAGCAGCCGCAAAAACACACCTGTCAGAGTATGCACAGGTGTGGAGATAACACGCAGTGTTTCTCACTCTCTGACAGTACTCCCAACAACCAATCACAAGTAGACACCTGCGAGGATAACAAAGTAACAAGCTGAGATTGAGCCGCTCTGAACCAATATCGTTACAGAGTTTGTCTCAGTGTCTCACCACTCCCATAAGCACACACTCCACTCCCTAAACTACGGTGACCCCGTTAGTGACGCAACACAACAACAGCCTCCCGGCCCCGGGCCCGCTCCACTACTCAACACTCTGCATGCATCTGGACTGAAATCGGACCACATGCATTCGGACGGATCGAATGTCTTGAATGTATTCAGAACAGCTCCAGACACACATAGAAAGCAAGTTGTGCAGCGGAGCGAAGCCCAATTATCTTTGATCGACCAATGTCGCATGATGATGATGATGATGATGACGATGATGATGATGCCACTCTTCCAGGAGTTGGATGAGTTCTAGCGTACTAGAAGCAACAGAAGGTGGGGAGGGCCCCCCTCAGGAAATTTCAAAGGGGATTTTTTGCAGACCCCCCCTGGCCGTTTCCGAGGTAACCGTTCCAGCTGTGTGTAAGATACGATAGCCTTTGCATTACATGTTAGTGGCAGACTACCGTCTTGCCCCGAACATAACGCACCCTTAAAATGAATGTATACAAGTATTTCTGGTCAGATACAGACAAAATGAGGGTATGTTGTGTTCGGGGGAAGACTGTAGTATATGTATCATGCAGGTAGGAGTATGAAAAAAAAAACAAAAAAAAAAAGGAGTAGACAGGCATGCCGTACTATGATGCTGCGTGGTCCCCACCATCAGGCTGAGTGAGAGCGCTAGCTGCGTGTTCTACACTGTCAGACTGAGTGAGCTCTAGCATATTAGACGAAACTCCCTCCAACACAGCAAGAACGCTCTCGCGTCCAGCCATCATATCTGGCCGATCGCATCGGTTTAAGCTTCCACAAGCCAAACCCAGCTGCGCCACTCGCTGTGCCAGCCCAATGTCCCAACAGCCCGCATTAGGGTCGAGAGCGTTTCGAAACGCGGTATCATCTTCCACCGCATCTTCGATTGTCCCGTACGCATTTGAGAATTTCCCAGTTAGCATCTCCAGAATCGTGATGCCTATCGGTCTTCTCGTCCAAGAACCCAGATCGCCAGTATTCCGGCGCGATGTACTGAGAATTGCTGGCAAGGAACGCACGCGTGAAATTACCCGCGGTATCTTCTCCAAGCAGTGCCCCATCGACGCCGCGAACCTTAGCCCCAAGCCTCTCATCAAGCAGGATGTTGGCTGGCCTTATTGCACGGTGAATGAGGGGACCGCCACATGACCCCGATCGACAGGAGTGGAGGAAGTGCAAGGCCTGCGCAACCTGCGCTAGAACACGCAAACGAATGTGCCACGGGAGGAATCGCCTCCCTGCCGACCTGTCTCCGCAAGACGCTATCCACTGCTTCACGCTCCCGTTCGACATGTGCTCGTACACCAGACAGCGCTCTTCCGCGTTAGGATTGTCATCATGATAGCAAACTCCCAAGAACTTGACCAGGTGCGGGTGCTCAAGAAACCTCAACCGATCCACCACTTTCGTTTTAAAGCTGCTGCTGCTGCTGCTGCCGCTGCCACCGCTGTCCATCGGCGGCGGATTCGTCACAAGGTCAGATGCTCTGAACCTATTCACTGTAATCTGATTGTAGACTTTGGCCAGGTAAGAACATCCATAAGGATCTTCTTCATCGCTACACTTCCAGCAGTCGCCGAAGTTCTCTGTTGCATCCTGCAGCTCTTTCCACGAGTACTCTCGGAACAATCGACCTTTTCTAAACGCCGCACCTTCACGGATCGAAGCACCCGACTCCTGTAGCAGCACTTGTTGCGAAGTGAGCTGAGCCTCTCCTAATGCACGCTCCAATCGCTCGCTCCTCTTCTTGGCTTTTTGAAATTTGTCTGCAAGTTCATCCCTCTCTAACGCCACCTGTCGGAGCGCGTCTCTTAGCTCGGCAAGCGATTCGTGCAAGGCTCGGCACTTGTCGACCTCTTTCTCCGATGATGATTTCACTTCTCGCACCCAGTCGACAAGTCTACGTTCTGCAAGCAGCTCTACCGCTTCCTGTAGCATTCGCTGCATTCGCTGCATTCGCTGCACTGTCATCACCTCCTCTAATGCCTGCTCCAATTGCTCACTCGTCTGAGTCCTCTGCTTGACCTTCTCCAATTTCTCGGCTACTAGTTCCATCCGCTCCAACTCCAGCTCGTGCAGCGCCTCAGATATCTGTGCATGAGATTTCTCGGAGGCTTGGCGCTCCTCGACTTCTTTCTTTAACGACGATTCAAGCTCCTTAACCCGGAGCTCGACTTCCGCAACTTGCGCTGCTGCCTGCAGCGACTTCCTCCAATTTGTGCTCCAATTGCTCGCTCTTCTCCTTCGCAGCCGCTAACTTGTCTTCCAGCTGTACCTTCTCAGCCTCCACCTGTCGGAGTGTCTCTGCTTGCCGTGTGCAAGACTCATCGGAGGCTTGCCGCTGCTCGACTTCTCGTTGCAAGGATAGTTTCAGCTCCCCGACCTGGAGTTCCGCCTCCAAAAACCTCTCCACTGCTTCACCCTTCTCCGACGCCAGCCTACTTACCTCCGCGTCGAGCTGGCTGATCTTCTCCGCTCCAGCTCCCTCCCTTTCTTGACACGCTGCTCGCAATTCGTCGAGAGCTTTCTCGCTCTCTTCTGCCCGTAGCGCCTGTCGCGCAGTGGCCGCTTCTAATGCATCCTCCAGTTTCTCGTTCCTCTGCCTCGATCTTTCCAATTCCTCTGCGAGTTGTCGCTTCTCGGACGCCACCTCTTCCAGCGCCTCGGCCACATGTGCGCGGCATTCGTCTGCCGCCTGACGCTCATCGACCTCTCGTTGCACCGATAACTTCAGTTCCCGAACCTCGAGCGCAGCGACCAAGAGTCTATCCACCGCTTCTCCTTTCTCTGACGTCAGCCTTTCAACATCATCCTCAAGCTGTCCGACTTTCTCTGTCTGAACCTCCTCCCTTTCCTCGTAAGCCGCTCTCACCTCGGCGAGCGCTTTCTCGCGTTCCCGCTTCACATTCGAGACCGCTTGCTCTATCCGTTTCTCAAACTGCAACTGGGAATCGACTGCTCTCTTCTCCATTTTTGCAATCTTCTTCCGCAGCAGCACCACCGCTTCGTCTTCTCGATCACCGACAGGCGCCGCCCTTGCCTCCTCGCCCAGCTCCAGCACCATGAACCCGCCTCGACCCCCGACGACAACCCGCTGGGAATCCCTGCACGGGGCCATGCTGATGACACCCTCTAGCTCGCTCGAATACGATAATACTCGCCGGTAGTTCGATTTGCTCCAGACCATGATCTGGCCATCCCAACACGCGCTGAAGATGTACGGCGCATACGGATGGGAAAAGGCTGACGTCACCCAGCGTTTGTGCCCTGTCAGTTCCGCGACGCACACGCCTGCCTTGTAGTCCCAGATTCGCACACAGCACTTGTCGTCGCCGGTGATCAGCAGCGACCTCTGCGAATAATCGCAGAAACTCATCCTACAAACGCTGGGAATGCAAGTGTGCTCAATGGTTTGCTTAACATCGTTCCACCGAAAATCGCACACCTTGATCCTGCCATCCGCTGACGCCGATGCAAACGTGTACCATTCTAACGGATCGTTACGGAACGCCACAACACCTACGGTTTCCGAATGATGCTCGAAGTCGGTGGCCTTCCATTCCCGGCCCCAGTCCCAAACAACAACACGCTTTTTGTTGCAGACGGTTAAGAGGTAAGATAACGCGGGATGCACGGCCACCTGCTCCGAACTGACGTACCCGCCTCCGTCTATGCTCTTGACAAGCCGGAGCTTCCAGCCTCTGAACTCGAACACTTCAAAGCCCTTGTTGTCCCTCTGCACCAGAATCCAGCCCTCCTGGGGAATAAATTTCACTGTGGGAATCTGGGAGCAATCGGGGACCAGCCATGAGGCTAACCTGGTCCCATCTTCGTAGTTCCAGACTTGAACCAAATTCTTGCCGGCTGCAAATAGAACCCACGGCCAATGCGGGTGCCCGTCGACGGAACGCGTGAACGACCTGCCATTCTTTACAATGTCAGAGTCTCCCACCTGCAGAACCGGCCGCAAGGTTTTTCCATTGCGGTCCCAGCTTCCCATCCTGCCTCGGAATCCTCTTCCCCGGCTGGAGTATGCACGTTCAGCGTTCGCTCCCTGTGAAAGCCTTGCCGAGGCTAAGGTCGAGGGTTCAAATCCCTCAATTAAATGCCGCAGACCCTGCCACCTTTTGTGTAGGATGTATAACCATGCGCGTCGCCGAAATCAGATCATGCGGACAGCTGCGTAATTCCACAAGCATAAAAATGGTGGAAATCATGCGGACAGCTGCGTAATTCCACAAGCATAAAAATGGTGGAAAATTTCTCGAAATCAGATCGTGCGGACAGCTCTGTAATACCAAGATCAACACTTCGCTGCACTTGCGGAACGATGTTTAAACTCTTGCCCTAGATGCTAGTGAGCATGATTGTGGAGTTTTCTTCCTGCCTCCGAAAAACAATGTTTCCAAACACAACGCATAATATATTTAATTTATGCGTTCAATTCCATTTAATGATTTTTTTTTTAACTCGAATACAACGCCCACGCATTATGTTCGGCGGGGGAGGCGGTAGGTAATGAGCATTATGCCGAGTCTCCCTGCCTCCGAATAACAATGTTTAACCTCTGTCCCAGATGCTACCGTCTTCACCCGAATAGAAAGCCCGGTCATTATAGCTGCATTTGGCCCAACTTTCAGTCCAGATGCAGTGATAATGACCGGGCGTTCTATTCGTGTGAAGACGGTAGTGAGCATAAGTTTGTAGTCCCTCCCTGTCCCTCCCTCGGAAACCTTTTTCCAGACTACACGAGCTCTTCTGAATCAGTTTTTTCACTCCGCTCACAACGCTTGCGTAATAATTATTCCCGCTTAGTACATGGTCAATCAACTCTCAACGCTTGTGAACAGCTTTTTGTTAACCTTAGAGTCTGGGTTCAAACCTCGGGACCACCGTGTAGTCCCTTCCCTTGTTCACTTCTCCTTAACACTGAGCCTTGCGAACGATCATCATGATGGTATAGCACCGAAGAAATGAATTAAATATTGTCAAGTTTATGAAGAAAAAATTTAAGTACTTCTCAACGCCTGTAAACAATGTTTAACCTTTGGGTTCAAACCTTCCTTCTTCACCCGAATACCGCAGCGTACTGTCATTTTTGCTGTATTTAGACTGAAACATTCCCCAAATACATACAGCTATAATGACCGTACGTTGTATTCGGGTGAAGAAGGTAGTTACCGCCTCTTTTGCCCACTGCAGGTGGAAAAGAACTGCGCGCCAAAAGCTTTTTCCAGAACCGCCAGTGCGACTCTTTTTCCCGTTTTGACTGGTTCCACCAGCCATTTTAGATCTGGTGGCGCTCTGCCTCCAAAGAATGCGGTATGTAGGTTATATTCACAATTTTGTGTGAAAGGTGGTTTCTTTTGGGGGGGGGGGGGGGGGGGGGGGGGGGGGGGGGGAAGGGGGGAAGTCCAGAGCCGGGGTTCGGGGCGCCCAACCCCTGACCCCCGGCGGGGTGTCCGGGGCCGGGGGTTGACAGCCCTGCTTCTTAGTCCCTACCCAAAACCCTTAACCCCTAAACCATGGTATCTTGGTTACCGTCACCACCCAGACGCCCAAACCCCAGTTAGCACTTACCCCCAGACCAGTGCATTCTAAGCCCGGGAACCTGGCATTTAGTTATATCTCCCTACAAGAAAACTTAAACTCAAGTTTTCCCTCAACCGTGCTCTGTCAGTTACGAGTCCCTGCCTGAAACCCTAAGCCCCAGCTCACCCTTAACCCTAGACTGATGAGCCCTAGACCTTAAACCCTAAACCGTGGCATCTTAGTTCCGCCCGAGTCCTTGCCAGAAACACGGGTGTACCCCTAAACCCTAGACCCTAAACCCTGGCATTTTACTAGTGCCGAGTACCTACCAGCAACCATACATCCCAGTATACCCTTCAACAACCAGTACCTCCATGCCCATTTTTTTCGTATGAGGCAGACTCCCCCGGCACGCCAAGCTTTTCCGAAACGCCAGCGCCGCAGCGCGGCATTTTTGTTTTTGGTTTGGCTGGGACCATCAGCCATTTTGCTCCGGTTGCACGGAGCCTCGAAAATTCCATTTTTTGTCTTTTTCGATTTATGCGTGTCATCCTTGCGCAGGGGCCATGCTAATCTTCCTTCTCTGTATCGTTCCAAATTTTAACGGATGTCCCGAAGGACACCTCCAAAATTTCAGGAGAGGCTCGATCATGATTCTCAAGTTGGCTGGCCCCATGTGCAGGCGGTTTGAACCATCAAACCACCAGCACCTCGCCCAAGGGGTGCCCACCCCCCCCGGACCCCCGGACTAGAGAACGAAATTGCATCAATCCCACGTTCGTCAGATGAAACATTCCACCGGACCAATGGGTGACCGCGCCAGCGGAAACAGGGGAAAAAAAAAGTAGCAATGGGCTTAACTCAGTTGGGGTACACCCAGGAACTGTTGAAATCGACCTGAGTTCGAACTTAGGGTTCAGGGTGTAGAGTTTAGGGTTTAGGGTTTAGGGTTAGGGACAATGAACCTTGGAAGTAATATACAGCCAGACCGAGGAGCTATGGGGAGCAAAAGACAAAAAATTATGGATGCGTATCTTTCTGTGTTCTTGGGGAAGATTCATTTTCATTTTGGCCATTTAGTGAGCCTGACTGGTGCAGTGAGGCCCATTATCTACACTCCAGAGGAGAGTTGACCCTCGATCAGACAGGCCTAAACCCTAAATAGGGTTCACCCTAAACCCTACACCCTGATTTTCGGATCGCGGTTTGGGGTGTTAAGGGCTTAGGGCCTACCTTCTTCACACAAATACAACATAAGGTCATTATATCTGGGATCACGGTTTGGGGCGTTAAGGGCTTAGGGCCTACCTTCCTCACACAAACACAACATAAGGTATTAAGGTCATTATATCTGTATTTGGGGTATCTTTCGGTCTAAATACAGCAATCATTACCGTATGTTGTCTTTAGGCGAAGAGGGTGGGGTAATCAACCCAAGCAGAGTGACGGGGACGATATTTACAGTAGCCGAGAAGTGAGAGTGAATGATAGAACGGCATGTTCGATGAAATTCAATCCAGCCACAATTACAGCCCCTGACACTACCATCTTCACCTGAATAGAATGCCTGGTGATTATCCCTGTATCTGGACTGAAAGTTGCCCCAAATACGAATATAATGACCGAGCATCCTATATTTTGGGTGCAGACCGCGGTGTTCACGCCAGGTTGCAAAGGCTCCCACGGGCTCATCAGGAGAGCAGCAGAGTTACTCCGTCCAAGAAATCACAGGCGACACGTCTTTTGCAAACTCACTAAGAACTCTGTAGCCACGGTCGTCCCCCAAACACAATGCACTCTCATCATGACTGTATGGAACCGTAAAGATTGCTTTTATGCATTCATCAATCAGGGAGCGTTGTGCTCGGGGGGGAGACAGCAGGTAGGGTATACAGCGTGTGCGCCAGGGTACTCAGGAGGAGGAGAATGAACAAGAAGGGAAGCAGAGGAGGACGAGGAGGAGGACGAGGAGGAGGAGGAGGGGGAGGGCCGCATGCAAGCATATCTTAACCAGAAGCACAGGAAGAGATAGGAGGAGGGAGAGAATCGGGGGGAGGAGGGAGAAAGAGGAGGAGGAGGAATGCATATGCCTGCCAGTAGGACAGAGAGTGAGAATTGCAAGGAGGGAGGAGGTGGAGGAGGAGGAGGAGGAGATGGGGTAAGAATGCACATGCCTGCCAGTAGGAGGGAAAAAGAGGAGGAGGAGGAGGGAGGAGGAGGGAGGAGGAGGAGGAGGCAGAGCTGGGGGATGAATACATATGCCTGCCAGTAGGAAAGAGGGAGGTGGAGATACGAAGGGGAGGAGGAGAGGGAAACGGAGGGGAGTGAAATGGGAGGGAGGGGAGTGAAATGGGAGGGAGGGGAGTGAAACGGAAGGGAGGGGAGTGAGACGGAGGAGGAGAAGGGTGAAGAGGAGGAGAGTGTGGAGAAGGAGAATGAACAGGAGAAGCGAAGAGGGGGAGGAGGAGAAGCTGGGCAATGAATGCACATGAGTGTGAGGGAGAGGAGGGAGGGGAGGTGATAAATGGAAGGACAGGAGGAGAATGAAGGGCGTGGAAGACGAGGAAGAGGAGAGGAGAAGAGGGGAGGCGGAGGGGATTGAAGAGGAGGAGGTTTGGGAGATGGAGGAGGCTGGGGAGATGTAGGAGTGATGAGGAATGAGGATTAGGGGGAGTAATGAGGGTGGAGGGAAAGAGAGAATTTTACGTTATCCGAGAGGGGAAGAGGGAGGAGGGGGAGTCCTCCTTCGAGACATCCGCGACAATTGGAGTCATGACACGCATAACTTCAAAAACAGAGCAGGACAAGTGCATTCCTCCCCCAGCTCCTCTCTCTCTCTCTCTCTCTCTCTCTCTCTCTCTCTCTCTCTCTCTCTCTCTCTCTCTCTCTCTCTTAATCACTCACGCTAAATCCTAAAATCGGCTTTATGAATGCTTACTGATCGACTGATTGATTAACGGACCCATTATATATTAAGACATTCATTCAGCCTTATCCATTCATCCATTCATCCTTGTTGGTCATGGTTATTAACTTATTCTTGTTATTAGTAATTTATTACTGAGCTACCAGAATGGCCCGGGACCACTTGCCCGGACGGGGCAAAAACAAATGAAAATTTAAATGAAAAGATAAAAATGATTTTTTCAATTTTATTTTTTATTTAACATGTGAGAACGAATTTTGATGTGACCCTGAGGCAAAAGTTGTTCAGTTTATTTTTCTGCATAACATAGTTTTTTCCGGAGTTTTTGGATTTCTTTTTTTTTTTTTTTTTTTTTAATGCCACCTTGGAAACAATTCACACTGCCGAACGCAGAAATTGGTGCGGCCCACAGGTGAGAGCACACGATGCACGCACGTCACGCAGGTGAGAGCAGGCACGCAGAAGCGGCAGAACGATTTTCTGTGGGCGGCATCAGTTTCTGCGTCCGGCAGTCTGAACGATCACTGTGCACAACATCACGCCACGAAACAATTCAGACTGCCGAACGCAGAAACTGATGCCGCCCACAGAAAATCGTTCTGCGTGCCTGCTTTCACCTGCGTGACCTGCGTGACCTGCGTGACCTGCATGACCTGCGTGCATGATGTGCTCTCACCGGCCGCCTGCATTCCCC